ACTTCTGCTGGATATTATGATTCTACTTTACTATTTACATGCGATACAGATGATGCTACCAGCAACATAAACATTACTGCTCACAACAATATAACTAATCTTTTCTCAAAATTGAATAAAAGTATTATTCGATAAATTCACCACAAAAACGTATAATTCCACTGAAGATTCAATGTCACACACTTGCTCCATACATCCTTACGTCAACAATTCAAACCTTTGAAAGACTTGTGATGTGAATCGGCAATATCACCTTCAAAGCAATTTTTTTCCAATAATAAATTTAAATAATGCGGGCAAAAACAATATATTGCACATTTTACTTCCAGGCATATTTTGCTGTATCTAGCCAGGTGCATTACTACAGAGTGAACTTCCAGCGACAAACATGATGCATCGAAAGAAATCATTCGCACTTCAGTTGGATTTATTCAGTGACTGACTGACTATCAACCCCACCAGGACATCACAATGAGCGACAAACACCCGGTGAAACAAAGTGCCAACATTCGGATGAGGATCACTCGGGGACAGGTCCCAGAAACCCCGCTCAACCCATAGGCTGGGTTATATTAGGGCCTCCGGCAACAGCCAAGGTGGGGGCTTTATAACAACAAAAAATGTGTCCACCATTGGGGCGCAATAAGAGGCAGGTCAAGAGGCACTTGAAAGAAAACTTTTGAGGCTGAACTCAAGGCTATGCGAGGGACAAAACTGGAGAAAGAGAGAGGATGGCTCAGGATCGAATTGAGTGGCGACAGTTTGTCTCTGCCTTAGGTGCCTCTGGGCATGATGAGGATTCATTGACTGATACAAGCAGATGTCTATTACAGACTATAATGATGAGTCCTGCCTGATGCTAACCTGACTACTGACTTGCAAGTAAAGCCTCGGTGAGGTAAATCATGCCACCTTTGAGGTCAAGATGGGAAAACATCACAACCAACTTCATATGGGGAACAGTCAGTAAGGGTACCTTGGCAACGCTGCAGTAGAGGACTGAGCATGTATGGGAATGGCCAATTTGCAGTGACAGTGAATGATTTTAAAGCATAATTTTGCCTGGAATTACTCTGTAATTGAAAAGCTTGTTCTCAAGTAAGTTTTCTCAGAAGTAACTGCCTTTGTGCATCCACTCATTCATAAAACAACTAGTCTACTGAAGTGAGAACATAAACAGGTGTGAATAGACAAGAAATTATCAGGTATCAAAGTAGCAACAGTACAGTTTTAACTTCTTTGGGAATGGAACATTGACTTGTCCCCTTTACACACCCCCCCCAACTTTTCCTACCCACTGATATTGCACGCAGCTCACCCCATGTCCTCCCCACCTTTTTAACTTCAAACATAGCTCCCTTCTTCATTTTTTTTTTAAGTAGTTCTCTATGTTTCTACTCCATACATCAGTACTGATCGGACAGTAGAAGTTTTTTTAACTAAAAGAAAAAATTGTAAGCATCAGTTTTAACTTCTTTTAAACACAAATTTCCTAGTGCAATAAAACCTTATCTTGACTTCTGTATTATTTCAAATGACTTGTAGTTTACATAAAAAGCAGTTGTAAAAACAGCTGGTCAATGACAAAGGCAGTAAGATCACACACATAAAAACCTAAAACATAATGAATATGTTTGAAGATCTGCTTTCCAGCTGATTTTCTTCCTTGCAAATTTATTGTAAAAGCTCTAGTTTATTCAGTCTTCCAGTTGCTGTTTGTAAATTTTTGTGTCAACATTTAAAATATACCAAAATCATCAATTTCCTTTTTTTCTTCATTGGTTTTCTTCTTCCTTTGGCGCAGAGCAGCACTATCCCTCCATAATGCAGAAAGCAGTTCATTTTAATTTAAAGCTCCCAAAAATGTGAGCTTCTAGCAAACTTAATAAACATAAAGCTAATATTCAGATAACATTAACAGAACAAATAGCAAACAAGAATTGAATAATGCTGAGTGAGTATATAATGCAGTTATTCTTAAATGAAAACCACTTAAACTGAAAACAAAGCTACAATTCTTCAGTAAAAGTAATACTTACTTAAATCAACATATTTCAAACAATGAAAGTTATGTAAACAATGGATCAGCTTAAATTCAAAGAAGGAAACAGAAACAACACAAAGTTCTTGAAATTCTTATGAGTGAAATCAAGACAGCAGTTTATTTGTCCTTGCTTAGGATTTTTCTGTTCCGAATATACGTCTGCAAATATTTTACTGAATAACATTAATTAGGGTGGCTAAACAATTTTAGGTATTCTTATAAATGCAATCTTTGCTAAACTTATAGAAAGTATAAGCTGAACCATTTTTAATATATTGCCAGAATTGCCAGATAGAAGGAATGGAATCATTACTACAGTGACAAGAACAGACAGGTATTTTATGAAAGTTTTTCTCTTCTGTTTAGTTTTAGTTTTGCTACTTTGAAATATTTTATTTCAACTAGCTAAAAATATATTTTTTGAGATTTCTGTTTTTTTTTCTTTTAGGTTTTCTGTTTATATTTTATACCCAGTCATAAATTATACCCACACACACACAAATCTGCGCTACGTAAACAAGATTTAAAAAAAAAAAAAACTATTCCTACAGTGACAAAATAGACTATTAGTTTAATAATGAAACCTTCCCTAAAGTTCTGGCCTGACAAGATAAACCTGATTTATTTTAAATAAATCTTTATAAAACTGCAAGTCACACAGAAGAAACAAATTTCAAGCAACTCAATGTCTCTCTTAGAAAGAATAGATAAATGTGTATGTCAGCGAAGTTCACTGTCATTAATAAATAATTGTTTGCAGTTTTTATTAGTAACCACAAAAGAAGAAGAGGATTACAATAACATAGAAGCTAGTATATTTACTTGCCAGACCACCATTCTATAAATGAAATCCTCATGAGGTGAATTATGAAACTGAGCCAAACTCCTAGATCTACCTGCTTTGAGAATAAGTAACAGAAAATGTTGTGTGATGTAAAAGCAGTCCTTATGATACTGATCACATCACCCACAGAACACTGACTGGTGTTTACAAACAGGGGCGAGCATCATGTGCCAAAAATGTTCTAAGGTGTGGAAACAGATCTTTTACTCACATAACATAAGCAAATGTTTTGCATAATGTGTTTTCCCCTAATGTTTTCTTGTGTCAAATTCCTTCTACTTTTTTTTACAACGTCTTTAGATTTTACAATGTAATTTATGTACAACAGAATACCAGCTATCCCTATTGCTGAAGCATTTCTTTCAACAGAAATATGCACCAAATAAACGACACTCTGGTGTCAACACAATCTTATTAGTATTCAGGATGGCATTAAATCAAAACAAGCATATGAAAGAACAAGGAATTTGAAATGAGATTATCAGGATTAACAAAATATGATGGTATTTTCAAAAGACAGAATGTTACATTAGCAAACCACAGAAATAATATCAGAATAATAAAGATATAAAATGCTGAAGAACCTGGTCATCCAGTAAAAATGAAGAATACCAACTGCCTCTGAGATACAATAGTAAAATTGTAGGTTTCAAAACAGGAAGACCTAGATGCACATGGATCCACAAACATTAACAACCACAAATATTAATGGTCAGAATAATATACATGGCAACATGGATATTATTTAACCAGTGGTTGCCAATGAGCCAAGACCTGGATTTCCCCCTTTTTTTTAAAGTGGCCTGCCACAGACCCCCCACCCCCCCACTTTTTAAAAAAATAGATGTTGGGCTTATCGGTCAGAGGTCTAAATTTATCGCATATGGGTAACCACATAATCCCTCCATTCCTCTGCCAGTGAAAATCTCTTTAAATGGCCATCACTGTCCCATGTAAAAAGTCAAACAGGCAACAATCATAGCAAATCCAACAGCTTCATATGTCAAAAGCATAAGGCAGCCACCAGAAGCGCCAACACTTACAGTCTGTCACTAAAAATTACCATTCATAATTTATGGAAACGGCACAGTCACAAAATAACAGAAGGCACACCGCCAATCAGCCACTCACAATTAAAAATTTACTATAATTTATAAATATTAGAAGCACAAAAAAGTTTGCATTATAACGCTGAGGGCTTTTTTGTGTAAATGATTTGGACTCCATTAACTCTTTGAGTCCCAGGAGGTTTACCATCACAGGCCCAGGGGGTAGTAAATAAAGTAATAACATCGGCGCACCATGCGTTTATTGGGCTTCTAGGTAGGAAGCTATGAACGTATGCTTCGTTCCTTGGGACTCAAAGAGTTAATGTGTTCTCTAATTCCCCTACACCATTTAGCAGCAAAAAAAGACTAGACATATAACTGTGGGTTGACCAGACATATTAATGTACATTTTGATTTTTTTATGTGATCATTATATGAGTCAAGCAATTAAACGAGGACGTTCAGAAGAAACTAAGACAACCAGTGACGAAAGATGCTAAAAGTGCTGGACTGGATTCCATCTAGGAATCAGCTTTCCACACTCTTAAGTATATAGTGTAGGCTTCATATTTTTATACCATACTGGCATTTGGTGGGTGATATGGTCACTTCATGCTGAATACCTTTACTTCCACAAAAATGTTCTTGTATCTTTAGACTGGGACTGGGAACAATTTCCCCTACTCATTGGGGATTCAAAGGCATGATCAAGATAATCTAACAGGGCATAACTGTAAAAATTCTGCTCAATTTTTAATCAGAATAAATACACTTAGAAGTACATCCTGCTTACAAACATTGATACATGTCTGTGGAGCTGCAACCCAATGTCTAAGAAGACAGGACGAATTACGATTTAGCATTCCATTCCACATTCTGATTGTTTTCATATACCTTGAGGCACGAATCTGAACATGTTGAATTTCAAAAGCAGCATTTAATCTGAGCATCTTGCATCACAGCTGGGCCTCAAAAGCTGCTTGTGTCGGCCAGAATGGTTTTATTTGTTCTTCACACTGACACTCTTACGGCAACTGTTTCACTATCATTCAACAAATTCCTATCATGAGCACTGAGTGTACGTGATTGTTTGACCGCCCACTCGCTGTGTAACTTGTTGACATCTTTGCTGTCCTGTGGATAAAGTTTTACAAATTTAATAAATTATCACATATTTGTTACATTTTACTTCTATGTGAAAGCAAACAAGTTCACTATTAGAGACTCTGCCAACTAGTATAGATCATCATTCTCCAGCACATTCTACCGAATGCAAATATTTTTGTATGCTGAAATTTTGCAATTAAATGGTTAAAAACTCTCAAGAATTCCTTCTGGCCTCTAGCTCCAGTTCTGTAAATCTGTTACTTCTCATAACACAAAATTTTTATTTCTTATGTTTGTGATAGGGTGTCGTTGTGTCTTATTCTCTAACACAGCGGTTCTCTACCTGTGAGTCATGACTCTTTTGGGGGTTGAACAGCCCTTTCAAAAGAATCATCCGAGATCAACGGAAAACACATAATCACTGAAGTTATGAAGTAGCAACACAAAATAATTTTATGTTTGGGGGTCACCACAACATAAGGAACTATTAAATGGTCACAGCATTAGGAAGGGTGAAAACCCCTGCTCTAACACGACACTGAGATTTTTTCCAAGATATTTTAAAAGCATTTTGATCCCCAAAAAAATGTGGCTTCAAAAGCTATCCTAGCCTGCTCACTGACTGCCCCGGATTCATATGTTCATATTTAGTTCTATTAACATTGTGAATTCTTTTTTACTTACAATAAATTAACTCAATCAACATTTCTATAATCTGTTACAATTATGACATAATCTATGCAATAATGAATTAATCAAAAGTTAATTAAAAAAACATAAATAATCAATATTGCAAAAGAAGAATAGAACTATTTTCCTAATTATAACCCAGATGGGCTGAACAGGATATCACTTTTTAATAAATGACTACTACCAGAAATTATTTTCTTCTTCCCATAAAAGGGACTTTTTCAACAGCTTGCCATGTTCTGTACATTATTTCCGTAATGCACATCCTCTGTGATACCATTCATATAGTGTACCTATGAAATTTATTAACATGACTGTCTCTGTCTGCTGGACAGGAATTAATTTATTATTTATAACAACTACTTTTATATTTCTATCTGAGCCACTGTCTGTTCTTGTTTTTTTTCATTGTCAACAACCACATAATGATTATTCTCTATAATTTAACCCAACTAGTTTCTAGCAAGATAGTACCAGCAGCATGGCATAAATTGTTTATATTGTGACAACAAATTCAATGTGTTGCTTTTTTTTTTTTAAAGGAAAAAACAAATAGTACAGTATACACATTCTGATCCCTGATCTATAACAAAGACATCAACTGAAGAATAAATGGGCCAGGAGTGTAGGGTGTAGCCAGGGGTGGCTAAGGAGGTGGAAGTCCAACAGTTGATTCACAACAATTTTCACCCAGATGATCTGATTATCATCTATACAGATGGTTCTGTGTTGAGAGGAAAGGAAAGTGCCTGGGGGTTTGTAGCGAAAGCCAATGGAAAATCTTCAGTGCAGGACAGCCCAGAATACCATACCACAACATCTAGCATGAGAATGGAGGTGGAGGTAGTCATTGCTTTCTGGTGGCTAGAGAACAAGATGCATACACGTAACATAATTGTAACAGACTCTTAGAGCATGCTGCGAAAGGTGAAGACAGTGATGCTTCGAACTGAGTGGCAAACTTCACTGGGAAGGTCACGGGTAGTGAGCATACTTTTGATCTTTTCTTCAGGCAATGCCAGCGTGGTGGGGAACGAACAGGCAGACAGCTTGGCTGGATCTGTAGCACTGGATGGGAAATTTATACAAACAAGGCAGACATGGTAAAGACCCTTTAGGAACATATAATGAAGTCAGAAAAGAAAAGAAACACGATTAATATGGCCTAAAGAGAATGATGTACCTGGGTTAACCAGAGTGTCTGGCCGGTTCACTACACTCGGAGGAAAGCAAGATGGACATATAATCAGATTACAACCAGTACCATTAGTACTGGAAGTCTGTCCTAGCTGCTGAAGATGAGGATGGAGTGCACAAAGGAATGCCCTAAATGCTGTGATGTCAATTCTTGACTCATTATTTCAAGGGTTTAAGTAATGAACGGATCAGAATAATAAAAGATGTGAAAATGTGGAAAAGATCCAGAAAAACAAAATGGAGAAGTAATAGAGCAGAGAAAAGAAATACTGATAATAGACACAGAGGAGAGGCAAAAATGGGACAAGACTGAATTATAAAAAGAAAAGACAAGGAAAAAAAGATTGGAATAAAACAAAAGTGTAGAAAGAAGAATAAAATAATCACATCAAAACAACAGAGTATACTTACTGCTATGTGAAGACTTCTGGTGCATGTTGTGGACAAAGCTATGAGAATGATCCTTTCCATGGCCGTGCCAGTGTGCAAAATTATCCCTTGAGTGGCCAAAATGTTTGTGATCCCCAAAGAAATGTTCAAAGATATCTCCGCCGCCAAAATCAAATTCAAAGTCCTTTGCTTTGTGACCAGAACCTTTACTTCCTTTTGCTTTCTTTTCAAATGAACTGAACATGTTATCTCCACCCATCCCATGGAACAAGTTATCAAAGTCAAAAAAGTGACCGGAATCTTTAAATGTGAAGTGAGCGTACTCTCCACTTCCGTGCTGGTGAAACTGTCTACCGTGTTGATGAAACTGTCCACCATGTTGGTGAAACTGTCCTCCATGTTGATGAAATTGTCCACCATGGAACTGACTATTTTTATTGGACTGCTGATAGAACTGGTTAAAATCTCCCTGTTGGGATCCTGGGGGTGCTGATTTCTGATCCTCATCTCCGTACATGTCATATATTTGTCTCTTCTTTGGGTCACTCAATATTTCATAAGCTGTGGGTACAGGAAATGAAAACATGATTTTAAAAACAAGAATAATGTGTGATTGGTGAAGTCACACTCTAAACTGTGTTACAAAGTGATGCTTTTCGCCGAACAGTGAGGCCCAGAAAAAAATGTATTCGCAAATTAACAGACATGGAATTTGTTCAAGTTAGACTGAATTATGGTAGCAAGGTGTAGCATGACATTCTCTTAAAAGAAGTCATTACTCATATTTATCAAAGAAAACCATTACACAGGTGGCTCTTCAGAAAGAAAGTGAAGTGCATGCAACAATCCCACTAAAATACTCTGCCCAACATAACCCAAGTGGCAAACAAAGGGGTTTTCAATTATTGGGACCACACACACACAAAAAACAGTTACAAATAGTGATCCATTCTTCTAAGCTAACAAAGAAGTGAATACAGCAAGTCTGGCGTCACAACAAAAGCAACAATGTTCATTTTACAATGTGATCAGACATTTTTTTAAATGCATTTTTACACTGAGATACACGAGAGTAAACGCTACAAGACAGCCAAAACATATGCTTAAAAACATTTTAAAGACTTTATTTGACATAGATCATGACACATGGGAATTTGTTACATACGAATGAAAAACCTAGTATTAATCTCATTATAGGAATGCAGCAGCATATGAGGCATTCAAAAAAGTTACTGCGCACTTGAAAAACTAGCAAAACAGTTTAATAAATCAACTCAAATATACCAAGTAAATGTGGCCTTAATCTGTTCGTCTATAAATAATTCAACTGTGACCTTCATACACAGAAACTGAGCCTATGTTATTCCTGTCAACCACACAAAGAGACTGGCAGATGATAAGCTCATAGATTACATGGACACCGTTTATGCTTTTGGAAAGAGGATTTAATGCACTGTCCATGCTGCTGTTAAAAAGTCAAGAATCGGGTGTAAAAAAATAGCATAGCCAAATGCAGGATGCACAGCAGATGTATGAGAAGTCTTGTCAACCACACAGAACTGACACTATAAACCAGGATGCACTAATGTAAGTGGGGAGAGGAATCAGCACTTATGGATGTGTCCAGAGTGCCATGAGGATAACCCCCATGAGGATAACCCAAGTCATAAATCACAATTCAAACAGAAAAGTCTTGGTAAACCACAAACAGAAATCAGTAACGTTAAGTGAGGCAGATAAAGCTCATGAAAGGTATTAGCAGGAATGACCATGCATGCTTGTGCACAATCATATCTTTTAAATTACAAAGACAAGAATTACCTTTTGTGATCTTAAGAAATTTCTCATTTGCATCTTTTGCTTTGTTCTTATCAGGGTGGTATTTAAGAGCGAGCTTTCTAAATGCCTTCTTTATTTCTTTTTGTGTTGCTTTCCGTTTCACTCCAAGAACTTTGTAGTAGTCTTCTGCTGATTCCACAACTTCATACAAGATCACAGTGCAATACAAGGCAGCCAGAAAACACAAGCCTCGGCTCAAATTCATGGTCGAGTCAACTGAGCTAATTCTGAAATAACAAAATAAATATTAAATGTCATAAACTTGCCACATTGGATCTTTTATTGCTGTTACTAAGAATCAATCCTAAGTAGCAATGTTAAACTTTCAATCTGGCTTTACTTGTCAATGTGTTGCATACTAACATATTATTAATCTCTGATGTTGAAAAAAAATATATCAGAATTTAAAACGTCAGATCATTAAAATTAAATGTGTTCAATCTTTAAAGGCAAGAGGTTCTACATCAGGGCCCTGAGTTAATTCTTTACACCTGGGTCTCTATGAAGACAGGGTGCTTCACAGAAAGCAAAAACTCTACAGCTTCCCGAAGGAATCTCCTGCCCTTGTAACTGGCAATGCGAAGTTAGGTTGGTAGTTTGTCCCCTCAAGGATTTCAGTCTGCAGGATTAACATCTCACGGATGAGAATCAAGCACGTACAATTCTCTGAAGTCAGTTCAACCAAAATAATTATACTGGACTCCCAGTGGTTACACAGTAAGCTGAAATCCAGACAGGGATTGTACAACTGGCACTAACATTGTGAACACAACCATACATGTCCAAAAGTGAAACCACAACTTTAGAAATGGCTGGACTACTAAACTATAGGCTATCTTCCGAATAACGGTTCCAAATTATCAAGGCCGAAAATATACCCTAACAGGGCCTCAGTCAGATGTAAATTGCGCACTTCCAGCGACTACCGTTGAGAGTATCTTCCATGCTGCTACGTGCGGCATGGACTGGGGCTAAACTAGATGGCTGGGACTCACGAGCAGCAGCTACCGCATCTCCTGCAGCTTCCCTAATTTTATTTGCTCGTGAGTCCCAGCCATCTAGTTTAGCCCCACACCACACGTAGTGGCGTGGGAGATACTCTCAGCGGTGGCGAAAGTCTGCAATTTTACATGTGACAGAAGCTCTGTTAGGGTATATTTTCGGCCTTGATAATTTGGGACCGTTATTCAGAAGATGGCCAACTATGTAGTAGGGTCCAAAAGAGAAACCACAACTTCAGAGAAGGCTGGACTACTACACAATGTAGTGCGTGTCCAAATGTGAAGTGAAACATCAGAGAAAGCAAGGTTACTGCATCCCACCGGACCCCCCACCCCCCCCCCCCCCTCATTTAATCTGTTCAGACCTTGTGACAGTCATTCATTTTTTTAGTATCACTGGCACCACTAGTCACCAAAGTTCCTACACTTGTATCAAGTTTTAGTAAAACTTTTACTTCTGACACTAGAGCAGACTCGTGACCATATTCACCTGATCTGACATGTTCAGAATTAAAAACTTATGACTAATAACTGTTAAGACGTACATGTCGTATATTATTATTATTATATTAAACCAAACCTATTTACTTATCATTATATATAATCATTTAATAAATTACGTAAACTTACCGTGGATGGAACAGCTGAATTTATTTAAAGTTTAATCAACTGCAATGATCCACCCGCCGATGATCTGTGTTTGTTAAAACAGCCTTTGGTCCTAGCTAGTCTTTACTCTTTACTTGCAGACTGTATCAGAAAATTTGAGGATCTGCTGTCGATTGGACTGTTACCCTAGCAACTGCAGGCTGCTTGAACAATAAATTATTAATTTATTTTTAAAAAAAAACACTTTTTTTAAAATCAAAACTGAAAGTAAGTGAAGGGCGTCAAACCTCTTCTATTTCCAGGCAACTGCTGATCAGTGCAGTGTTAACTGAAGTTCATTCACAGAACACAGACTGCGTGCGGCTTCTGATGTGACAGGTGATTAACTAACGATGTATAGGTAGGGTATTTAATGACAACACATGAAAACTTGCTCCTCTCTAGAAGGTCCACGACGACTTCCTGTTTACAATGCAGATCCACGATCGAGCCAGCGATTGGCTGCCTGAATCATGTGACTTTCAGGGCGTCTAGAAATTTCTCCACGTGATTATTGTAGCCCTTAAGTGCAAAACAAGCAGCTTTGCGTGTCTAGAGCATGACATTTACGACATTTTTATGATTAATCACATATTACATAACGTTCTGTCAATCAATTAAGGCAGTGCCGCCTCCAGAAAGAAGATTGGCGGCGGTGGAACACCAACACTCGTCATGGCTGTAAACTTTTCTATCCCAATAACCCCCCCCCCCCCCCCCCCTTTTACAAACAGACAGTCGAATATGTTAGAGGGTGGTAGATAGGCTGTATGTCTCTCACATAGATACTAGAGGGGATACACACACACACACACACAAAAGGCGCCCAAAAAAATATAGAGACGAACGATGGAAAGTGACCTTAGTGAGGCATCTTTGACATGGAAAACTGCACTGAAGATTGCACAGGACAGGAAAGCATAGAAATTGCTCTCTGAAGTCTCATGCGCCACTAGACATAAAGAGATTTGATGATGATGAGATAGGTGGTATCCAGTCTCGGGACCTAGGCTACACTCTCTCGTGGGACGTACGTGGGTTAGGTTTAGGCCCAGTTCTATGTGTTTTGGGGTAGTTAAAGGCATCAGAAAGCCGGGAAACCTGCTTTTACCACCCTCGACAAATATTGAACTGTCCTGTGACGTCATCCTTAAAAAAAAAGGGGGGGGGGGTGAAAGCACCCACTTTTCTCCTAAGCGCCGGAAAGTGGGATCTCAAGGATCCTTTGAGCACCCCCCCCTCCCCCCACATAGCTCAAACTCTTTGTTGGAGGTTCCTTTTTAAACACTATTCCATCGACTTCATCTGACTTAACTGGCAAACAAGCTTACTTCAGTTAACAAATCAAGTCCGTGGGAGTCCTATCTTGAAATGAGTTTAGCTGATTCAAGAACCGATGTCACAGCAACTCGCTAGAAAAAAACACGTATTGAGGTCAGAAGAACTGTGTGGGTTTTTTTTTTTTTTTTGGAAGAGGCGGGAGGAGGTAGGACGTTTTGCTCACAGGCACGAAGCTTGAAGGGAGTGGTAGAGAGCTCGCCTGTCAAATAGTTATGTAAGGACAGTAAGAGATCACTTTAACCATGCGTAGAAATTGTGTTTGAAAGTAATTACTTAAACTTTTTATCCTTTTCCACTTTCTTTAAAAATAGGTGCATGATATTTAAGTATACTGTTATATTCACTTGCCATTTGGTACAGAAATAATATCACAATTATATTAATAACAATAATGGGCTGAATGGCAATAAATATAATGATATACTGGAAATAATATGAAATGTATGAAAAAATAATTTAGAAGATAATTTATGTACAAAAGTATTTGGTTGGGGTGGGTGGGGCGCTGTGCTCCCTCCTCCCCATTTAGAGGGTAAAAGGTCACTTAAAAAATACAAAGCGTGCCCTTTCCATTTATTTCAGTTGTTTTTGATCTCATGAAATACAACATATTCTTCTGCAGGATTTAAATTCGACTTTTTAATTGCTTTTTCATTGTCAAATGTCTGCATCATCTATATATAGTTAAAGTTAGTTGCGTATCCTTTACCTAAATTTATAGTAGAACTCAAGAATAGATTTCAAACTCTGTCAGGTGACCCAGACAGTCAAACTGCAATCAGCATTCTAGATAGATCAAAGAAACATACAAAACAACTAGCAACAACATATTAGGAACCAGAAAAAAAAACACCACAATGAATCGATAAGCAGTCAAACCATGGAGTATACTGCCAAGCGAAAAAGAATAAAGAACCTCATAAATCACACTAAATCAGAACGTCCGAAAGACAAACTGATGTTAGAATATATCGAACTAAATAAAAGGGTAAAGAAAAGAACTGACAAGAGAAGATTTATGGACAATCTAGCAGAAAATGCTGCTAAAGCACATGATCTTCAAACCCTACACAAAATTACCCAACAAATCTGCGGAAGCAGAAACAATTACCAGAGCATACCCATCAGAGATAACTAAGGCAAACTGCTTACCACAGAACACCTTCAAAACATGCAGTGGACTAAACACTTCTCTAACCTCTTGAATAGACCTGATCCTGAACATCCCTCAGATATTCAACCAGCCTCTCAGAACCTTGACATTATTACTAAACCACCAAGTAAACAAGAAATCCTTAAAGCTATCCACACTTTAAAGAACAACAAAGCACCAGGTAAAGACAAACTGCCAGCAGAACTTCTCAAAACAGATCCCAACACAACTGCTAACATTCTAGAACCATTGTTCAAGGATATTTGGGAAAATGAAGTGTTGCCTGATGACTGGACTGAAGGAACAATAGTACAAATCCCCAGAAAAGGAGATTTAACAGACTGCAATAATTGGAGGGGAATTACTCTACTCTCATTACCAAGCAAATTATTTTGTAAAATCATCATTATGCGGCTTGAAAAAGGAGTAGATAAATGCCTACGAGTGGAACAAGCAGGATTCAGAAAGGGCACAGGCACAACTGAGCACATTTTCACCCTACGTAACATTTTAGAACAATGCAATGAATGACAGAGAAGTATATTTATTAATTTTGTGCTTTGAGAAAGCTGTTGACAACGTCCATAGAGACAGTCTCTGGAAAATTTTACGACATTATGGAATTTCAGAAAAGATAGTCAACATAATTGCTCTCCTCTATAAAAAATTACAATACATCTTTCCTAGTAAAGACAGGTGTAAGACAGTGATGTGTCATGTCATCTCTCCTCTTCAACCTTGTGATACTAAAAAACTCAGTAGACAAGACATTGAGAGGCATACGATGGACTCCATTCACCATGCTTGAGGACCCTGATTTTGCAGATGATATAGCACTCCTATCACATAAACATGAACATATACAAGGAGAAAAGTAGCAGACTACACAGCACAGCAGAAATGGTGGGACTGAGAATAAATACAAAGAAAACAAAGATCATAACAAACAGTCCAAACCAACAACCAGAGACCATAAGTAACCAATCACTTGAAAATGTAGAACATTTCACATATCTTGGCAGTGGGGCGTCCCAACTGGGAGGGACAGAGGGAGACATACGG